ACTGGCCCGGCCAACCTGGTTGATAAAATTATAATAACCGGGCTGGTCGATAAAAATATGGTGACCCATATCACTAGTATAGTCAAAGTTTTTCTAATGCCTTAATATATATAAATCTATAAAAATATTCGGACTGATTTTATATGTAGTACATATTTTTACCGCGAAATTTCTTCATTATACCAACATACCCGCTATATGAAAATTCGCTATAGATCACTTTAATTGATAAAAGTCACCGCCCAATGAAACGATTGGTCAGAAACGAATCATTGAGGACAGATCATTTACACTCGGACCTGCCCCACGAGCGGCCACATCATTCTCGTATCGTCCCAAGTGGCGGGGACTATTCCGTTTAAACCCAATAATCACGAATTGGGGCTGCGGGCTACGACCTCCAAAACGATCATAAAGAAGCTAATAAAATAAACGGACAAAATCATCGCCCAATGAAACGATTGGTCAGAAACGAATCATTGAGGACAGATCATTTACACTCGGACCTGCCCCACGAGCAGCCACATCATTCTCGTATCGTCCCAAGTGGCGGGGACTACTCCGATTAAACCCAATAATCACGAATTGGGGCTAGGACCTCCAAAACGATCATAAAGAATTTCCAATCAAATCAAATGATAATTCGTTTGACAACTCAAAGAATTATCCAACAAAGGTTTACTTGAAATACTAGATGAACCCACCGCTTTAATGAACATCTTAAACAAGGAAAACTCGACTGAGACTATCTCCTTGGACGATTAAATGTCGCACTGACATCGTACAGAATAAGACTTGTTCACGGAAAAGCTCACCTAGTGACCACTACAAATCGCCAAAGAACATTGAGACCAAAATACCAATTGTAAACCAAGCTAGTTTCGTCAGCAAATGGCCATCCAGCCAAAAGTCATCACCAGACCAGTGAAGCCTAGACCACTAGACATCTGATGAATCACCAGACCAGTGAAGCCTAAACCACTAGACATCTGATGAAGGACCCCCGAGAAAACCATCAAAGTATACGTCACATGATAAACTGGCAAAACGACGGCGACTCTTTAATGGACAGACTACCTGTTTACATTGAAACAGAAATTCCAAAGAAAGTCAGTAATAGAATAGGAAAACTAGCAAATTCTGACACGAAACTACAACACACTCACACTTGTGAATAATATATAGCGAACGCACAACGAGTAATTATAAAAGTAACATGGCGAAATCCAGAGAAACCTTTCATAACAAAAATAAAAAGTAAACAAATACATTGAAACAGAAATGCCAAAGAAAGTCAGACCCAACAAGTAATAGAATAGGAAAACTAGCAAATTCTGACACGAAACTACAACACACTCACACTGTGGATAATATATAACGAACGCACAACGAGTAATTGTAAAAGTAACATGGCGAAATCCACGGAGAAACCTCTTCATAACAAAATAACAAAGGTAAAAAAGTAAACATAAATTACTCGTCAAAAATCCATTTATTGGTCAATTAAATTTTAGATCGCCAGCCAATCAAATTTAAAATTCCATTCAAATTTTAGATCGCCAGCCAATCAAATTTGTCATGTGACAAAAAATCATTTCTAATGTGTATTTTCGCAAGCAAAAAATAAAATCTAAAAAATCCAGGAAAAATCATAAGTTATCTTTAGTTTAGTGTAAAAACAAAAATATTTATTAATGAAATAGAAATTTTCAATATAGAGAAATAATTTCATTATTAATTATACGATACAAATCGTAAATTTGTCATGTCCTAATTTGCGGTGAAAAAATAAATTTCTTATTATTATGTAAATTTAGTACCAGATGCGAATATTTTTTTTCGCTTTTATCACATTCCTTGGTCGTTATTCGGCATTTTTAATTGTATCCCATATTTTTGTTTCTTACGATAATTTTTTACAAATAAGTAATTCTTTTCTTTTCTTCATCAATCGGGATTCCCGATTGAAGATGTTGATATATTAGTGTTGAAAGTTCGTCATTTCAACTTAATCTAAAAGACTGTATTCTTTATTACTAGCGTTTTCGTGTTATTTTTTTGCGGGTGAAAAAACAATATCGATATAGAATCAGTAATCTTTTTTATGCGCCATATTAAAAAGGAAATGAAAATGAATGCTAGCTTTTTGATCGATTTTTCATTAGCAAAGCTGCTTTTGTAAATTACTTAATGCCCAATGCAAGAACTCGTAGTTGATAGAGATTTAATTTTTCGGTTCAATGTGAATTAATATTATCATTATATTTATAAGCGAGGGATTAACAATTTAAAAGGTATTGCTGATCTTCAAATAGGAACTATTCCACGTGATAGAACGAGTAAATATAAGACGCGACTTGAAAATTTATAATTTACAAAGTTCTCGTTAAAAAAAAATGCATCCCGAACAAAAAGAGAATCAAAGACCTCCGCAACAACAACAGCAATATCAACAGGGTAAACCAGAATCTCAACAGTATAAGCAAGAACCTCAACCTCAAATACCACAGCAACAGCCACCACAGCAACAGCTACAACAACCACAACAAGTACCTCCAGGCTGGTGAGAACCTTGTTTATATACTTCTAAATTCATTAGTCCTTGTCTTTTTCCTTTGGTCTTGCGTCTATTTGATGAATAAGACAGGCTGGAAATGCAATAATAAAATATACTGACTCTTGGTTTGGTGCTCTTAGGAAACCCCGGAAATTAACCTTTGAGGAACAACGAGCCGCAGATATTGTAAAGTGGGGAGACGAAATCAATTATTCGGCGAGATATTATGGTTAGTTGATCTGAGAAGAGAATGCGTATTTTCTATGATACTAAAGAATTTATTTTTTTTTCGAATCATGGTAGATGAAGAAAGTGAATACCGGTAAGATTCTGTATTATTAGAATCGAAAGATTCTACATAAACTGATTTGGTGGTCTACATTCATTTTTTTTTATTGATACTAAACATTTTATGATTTTGATTTTATCTCATGATTTACGTCTTTCCAATATAGTCACGTAACATTGCCGCGAGCCATAGCTCAATACATTCCACAAAACAGGCTCATGCCCGAAGATGAATGGCGAAGCTACGGTGTTATCCAATCGGAAGGATGGGAACACTATATGATTCATGGTGAGAAAAATTGATAAGTTTCACACATATTGCTCTTATAATTTTTTATTATGAAAAATTGCGTCGTTAAAATATTTATATATGAATATAGCTCCAGAACCGCACATTCTACTCTTCAAACGAGAAAGAGACTATCAGATCAAGTATCCAGAAGGGAAATACAATTACCTCCTGAAGCAACAGCACCAACCCCAACCCCCACACCAGCCCCCACACCAACATCAATCCCAATCCCAACAGCATCAACATCAACCTCAACATCAGCGTCAGCATCATCAGCATCAGCAACCCCAGCATCAACCACAGCCACAGCAGTAATATTGGTAGAAAGAAGAAACAAGTGATTAGTTAGTTAGCATAAGCACTATTTTTATTATTGAGAAAAATATTATTGTATCAAACGGAATGTGAAATAACTATTTATTCATTGCATATTATCCGAATCAAAAATAATTTATTTAATTATTCTGTACTTTGCCAATTTCCATCCATATAATATAAAAAAATCGAATAAATATCGTACATTTTATTTCGTCATAATTGCTGTTTCACATGATGATGTCGATAGTGTGAAATACTATTTGACTATAATTATCACCATTATTATTATTACTACTAGTACCACTATTGGTATTTTCAGTTTTCGTCGCCATCCCAAACTACGAGCGTGAGTTTTAGTACTACTACACCATGTGGCGGGATATCGTTTATGGTAATCCTTATTTTGACAAAAAATTAGATTTACACATGTCAATAAAAAGAAGTAATAAACCAAAAGACATAAATATATATATATATACTCTTGAAGCAAGTTCCCTAAATCCTTTTTATGCCACAGATCTCTGATACTGAAAGCCATCACTTCTCGTGAAGAGTCGTCTTTAGTAATGTTTTTGTTAACCGCAGAATATTTATGGAAAAACGGTTTCAGTAGCGAGAACGGAAGTTTTATAGCCTGTGGTGTATCTTTACGATTAAATAAGACTTCAAAATAATTACGATGGTTAGTAAATCTATCATCAATACGCAAAACACGAGAAAAAAACATGATAAACTTACTAGCTACACCATTTTGGAAACCATACTCATCGGACAATTTCCCCGCCCACACGTCATAACTGTGTTCCTCCCGAAACACCAATTTCGCCGATTTCCCAAGGGGATCCTGATTAATTGCGATGATTTCTTTGTTGGTGAGAATTGCGATTGTTTCAGCGGTAAGATTACGAACGTCGCAGCCGATTATGAGAGGGGATTTTAGAGCGGCCCATAATGCTATAATTTGTTACCGTTATATTAAATTAAATTATCCTTGCAACTTTCATAGTGAATATTAAAAAAATACATACAAAAATGAGTCTTATACTCTTCATGTGTCATCCCGCCATTTCCAACCTCTAACATATCAAGATCATTGAATCCACCCGGTCCAGCGTGCTCTTCAAGCCCGACTGTACTGTCCAGAATTTCAAGCATTCCGCACGGATCACAGTGTCGTGGATCTTGTTTCTTGTCCACGCGATATACATCGTTTATGTCTCCAGTGGTACGCCACGAGTTTCCGACTTTTGGTCCCCTAAGATATGTTTTATATTCCTTTGTTCATTTAATAATATAAATCAAATTGATAATAAACTAGAAAAGAAAATACCAGATCCAAGGATCATGTTCACCCCAATTACATATCGAGTACAAAATCGGGCGACCAGTCTTGTTCAGTGCATCGCGCATCCCTAAAATGATAGGTTATGATTTTGAAGGTGGATAAGTATATACGATATAATAAAATACCATAAATACGATATATACATACATGTGTACCGTTTAACCGTGTCTACGCCCAAATTATAACAGTTATCGTATTTCAGGTAGTCAACACCCCAGTCAGCATATGCTTGCGCGTCTGTATCTTCGCGCAATAACGAGCCCGGACGTCGTTGACAAGTCCAGTATCCTGATGTATAATATAAGTGACATAACGCGAATAACCAGATTAAATCTTTAATTTTTAAACTCCACCATACCAAAATACATGTGCACATACATCATATATATATATACATATACATATATGTTAAAAGAAACACAATCGTAAATACCAGCACTCGAATAAATCCCAAACAACAGTCCACGTTCATGTATATACTTCGCAAGTTCTTTCATTCCCGACGGGAATTTACTATTGTCAGACAAAATCTCACCGCGCCAGTTCCTCTTTTTCTGCCAACAGTCGTCAAGGTTCAGATATTTGTATCCAAGGTCACGTAATCCGGTACTCACGAGGGCATCTGCGGTCTCTCGAATGAGCTTTTCGTCAATGTCGCAAGCAAATTTGTTCCAAGAGTTCCATCTTTATTGGTTAGTTAGGTGTGTTGTTAGGAAAATGCAAGCAAAACGCGTATATTTGTTCACAGAAATGGGGTTCACAAGACACATTAAGTTATGTGGCTTTGTTCAAAAATGCCAAATATAATATCTAAAAATTTCCAATTACCCCATAGACGGCGTGAGTCCTACTCCATTATCCAACGCATAGCAGCATTTTTTCAGATAAATAAGAGAAACCAAAAAAGCGAAAGCAATAAATATACGATTTATCACCATTCCTGAAAACATTCCTGAAAACTCCTGAAAACGCCTGAAAACGTTCTCAGTGTCGGTATATTTTGATATCCAAATATTTACGAAAGGGCAAATGCATTATGTACAGTATTCCGCATACATGATCGTTATACCAAAATTTGGCTTTTTTGATCACGGGTAACAATGAAGAAATCTATATAATCTATACTAAATCTCATCATATTTACTCAAATTCTAAACTCATACAAACATGTCATTTGCTGCTATCGAAGAACTTTTTCTTACAGATACCACCACTCCCAGCAGCACCACCACCACCACCACTACCACCACTACCATCACTGACAATAGCACTACAACTACTATGCCAAGTACTAGTGCTACGACTAGTGCTACGATTGGTGCTGCTACTACTATTACGACTACTAATACTGTCCTTGGTAAAAGAAAGTCCGTGGACTTGGTCGAAGAGGAAGGTGAAGAACAAAATAAGGAAGAAGAGACAGGCAAAAAACGGCGTGTTGTTCAGGTGGTAGTTGAAGAAGATAAGCAAAAAGAGCAGGAAAAGAAAGAAGAAGAGGAAGAAGAGCAAGAAGAGCAAGAAGAAGAAAAGACTGCAGGTGCTGCTCAAGATTTGTTCAACGAATTGCGGTTCGGGCAGCATATTTGGTAATTTTTATCTGAACTCCTTTCTTTTTGCTACGAAAAATCAAAGGAGTTGTTAATTTATTTTTTCCGGCCAATTAAAGTCGGGTCGCATGGTCGGCTCAAAATATCATTGCATGGGTACCACCAAAGAAGAAAAGTTCCGGCACTACAATTGAAATACTCAAACCGTTCCGCAAACACATTTCCAAAAAGCAACAGCCACAACAACAACCACAACAAGAAGCTTATACCAAATGGACTTTTCCACAAAAAGCAACAACCTCGTCGATGGTGATCGAAACAGGCGAATATCATTCCGGCAATGATATTGTCAATGTTGCGTTCAATCAGCTCGGGAACGGACTGGCATCGATAGATCGAACCGGCAAAATTGTGCTTTGGATCTTTGAAGAGTTTATTAATGAGTGGAAAGCGATTTGGAATGTAGATGTCAAGGAACCGGTGGTTGCGTTTTGGTGGTTGGCGACTGAACGGAAGGTTGTTTGTATGGATTATTACTATTTTTTTAATCTTAAAAAATGACGATGAATTGATGTTATTTTAATATGTGTGTGAAATTCTAGTGGGAATTTTCAAGTACTGGATATCGTCGGGCTCCGTTTAAAGGGCCCAGAAATCGGTATGGAAATCTTGCTTTTGTTGTGGTTACATCGAGTGGCAAGGTAATTTAGGAGTTTAGTTAATAAATATTATTTTTTATTTATCATATACATTGATCATAATAGGATACATACTGTTAAATTTTCTAGGTCTCGTTGTTCTATCAACAAGAAAAAGCGAAATTCTTGTCTAATACTACACAGTTAGACGTAGATTCAAACAGTGTTATTACACATGCTGATCACATGTTAAATAACGGTACCTTTTCAAACCATAATTTTTATTGTATGTTTCCTCATATTTATATATAGCTAATTTCTTGAATGAGAATAGATGGACGCTTTATATTATCGACATACAACGCCAACTCATTATCCCAGATTGCAACAATATTCGAAATCTTTATCGATTTATTGCTTCTGGATGAAATGAGTCAGAAACACCATCACCATCACCTCCAAACAAGTCCTCTCCAGTGTTGGATGATTGCTAATATTGATATATTGGGGTCGAAAAAAGAATTAAATAATAGTGTGGGTGTTGATGGTGTACGTGGTGATGATGGTGATAGTGGTGATGGAGGAGGTGGTGGTCCATTGATTCATATGAAGTTACTTTCTGCTATGCCAGATAGTGAGGCTGTTCGTATGGTTTTGGTTACTGCACAGGAAGAAGGTAAATGAATGCACTTTTTGTGAATTTGATATGTAGTAGTCAAAAAGCAGAGTCGATTTTAATTAATAATATTTTTTTATTTGTATAGGAAATACTGAAGATTTTTATTATAATAGTCAGCTAATTTTATACGAGCTTAATAAAAGCGAACCATTTTCGTTTTTGCTTGAAACGGAAGAAAATAAAATGTTAAATAGAGTGATGGCAAGTATTAAATTATGCTTTTTAAATTACATTTGATTGCAATCATTCATATTCAAAATTTTATAAATTAGCGAACTTCGCGGATCTTGACTCATATAATTATTCAAAAAAGATTGATAACGCGTTTATGGCAACATCAAGGAGAATTGCTTGTTGGTTTTGATAATGGGCAATTTGAATTCCGTAGATGGTATTTTTGTTATTATGATCGACATGAAGATTACTTTAAGATTTGCTAATCCCGATTTCTATTAAATAGCTCTAATTTGGACCTTATAATCACAGACACACGAGCAGTCATCACAAACCTAGAAAACAAGTGCCTACCAACACCAAGCGCTTGGGGAATCCGAAACAACAAAGGCCGTGACAAAGCTGGTGATAATAGCCTTGCAGAATTATCAATTTCACCAAACAATGCAGTCCTCCTATGTGCTCGATCATCCGGAAAAATAGATTTTTTTGATATTGCAGATACTACACTGTTTTCTTACCTAAAAACTTTTGAGCAGTCGTCGATTGTCGAGCTTTTCGCTAGACTGTTGACATTGTCGATATTGAATAATGTTGAGCATACAGATCTGGAAAACGTGATTATCAAACTTTCGCTGGAGCATGAAAAAAGTGGTAGGGAGTTATTTTCTCTTTGAGCCGTTGGTTACTTGCATTCACATCATTGAACAGTATATATTGATGCTTTGCTGTAACTTTTGTCCTGAAGATTTTATTGAGCTCGTCCTCGAAAATACTTTATCGAATATCGAAGGAATCTATTCAACAGCACGAACTCACGATTCATCAGATCTGTTTGGTAGATTGCTAGGAGTTCAGCTATCATTATTTAAAACGTCAGGCGATGAAAGTATGCAATATTTGAATACGTTGGCGTTTTTACAGCTTAGAGCGGTAGATGCGGCGTTCAGAAATAGCTACGTGATTCGGAATCAATCAAAGATTTTTTCTCCTGGTATGTGACTAACCTTTGGACTGGTGTTTTATTGAATGGATATTTTTTTCGGTACATTAACTAACTCGTTGATTATTTATTTATTAGATTCCTTTCCTTCGCTTTTACATTTAACTTCGTGGGTTGTAGATTTTGCTGTGAATTTTGTTCGGAATTTATATGTGCATTACTATAGCTTCACAAAAGATCGCAGTCCAGGTACATATAATGAATCATTTGAACATCCTATTATACACATTTATTCTAACCTTATTTGTAAATCATCATCATCATAATAAATATAGAAAAATCACACCTCACCCTCCTATATAATTCTCAAAGCCGCGCATGGCTCAAGAACATCTTGCAATACGTGAGCGATTTCAGACAATACATCACTTCCGTCGCAGGATCAAAGAATATTCGACGGATGCGCGATTATCTAGAAAAAGACATTTTCGAGAAACGTTGTCCGATCACGTGGGATCAATTACTTCTATATGTCAGTGGGATTGCTGATGTGGTTGAAAAGGTGGCAAAAGGTTTGTTGTTCGCTTTTTCAACGACTTCGAGCAGGAATTTTTAGTATTGTTATCGTATATATATAAACCCAATCCATTTTTAACCAAATAGATGCACCTGACTTTGCGCGTTTAGAATATAGCGCGATACTTCGGTGCACTGTTCCCCAAAGTTGCCATACAACTCTTCCGGAAGCTGAAAATCATTTCAAGCAGTTTGTTAGCACATTTGATCCGAATGTTGTGTACTTTTATGAAAATGATTGGGTGAAATCGGTGGATGTTGTTAACAAGACTCGGAACATTCCTCGGGATCGTCAGTGCACTCGGTAATTTGTATTATAATAATTTATTTATTTGAAACCTTTCAATGACTTTAAAATTGACTGTTAAATTATTTTATCTAGTTGTGGATCGTTATCTTCGACGCATGACCATATAAACAGTCGATGGTCGAAGAATTATGTTAGATCTTGTGTATGTGGAGGGCTCTGGCGGAAACTTTCTCAATAGAAAAACCAATTTATTTCTTTCTATGACATTTGTTACTAATAAATTAATCCAATTCCGAATGATAAAAATCTAATACTTAGAGTATAAGTTGAGACTACAAAAATATATTATTATATAAGACAATTATTTTCAAAGTATTGCTTGCATCTTACCCAATTAAATCAGTAACAACTTTATAAATACTCCAACTTTGAAAATAAAAAAAGTTCGCCTGACTATCCCAGCGTAACAAAGATACACCAATCTGAATAGATTAATTTATCAACCAATTGTATGTGGGTCGGCTAGTCAATTTAGATATATATACGTATAAGATTATTGTCACTTATTATTATTATTATTATTATTATTATTATTATTAGCATTGTCTTGCTACTTAAATGCATGATAATTCTCAGCTTCTTTCATTGTCATGAATTATCTAAGATAATTGATATTATTACTAATATTATTGGCTGATTTATTAACATTTTGCATTTCTACTAATTATCGTGACAAATTAAAACGAAATTAAATTAAAATAAAATCAGATCTTTTTGGACGAAAATTCTGAAAAAGGGTTAAGTATGGCTTAAAGTATAAAGTATAGTATCAAAATCTCTATTATATTAATTTATGATTATTTGAACATCCTATTCTATTTTCTTTTAATCTGTTACAATTATTAATGAATGCAGTTCTTGCTAGTTAATTTTGATCAAATTAGTTTGTTTTTATTATTTTAACTGTTTCTATTTGTTGTTCTTTTATCTAATAGACTTTTTACTCTCAGTTTTTTGATTATTTTTCTTTTGATATTGATATTAATTATCAAATTTTTCTAATTTGTGTTAAAATATTACTAATATTAACTGGATTACTGACAAGTATTTTGATATTTTTTTTTGAATAAGTTGTTGTTATTATTATTATTATTATTTGATTATTACATATAAGTTTTTTTTGATATTTGTTTTGATTAATAATAATTTTGTAAAAATTTCATTTTTGTTAGATTTTGATTAAGAAATATTAAATACTATTATTTTTATTATTTTTCACAAATTATAGATATAATTTATAATTTCAATTTGTATTATTAGAAATTAATTGTACTAATTATGTAATTGTTATATTGTTGTTTTGTTTTAATAATTAATGCACAAATAGAATTTCTATAAAATTGAATAGATAAGTTTTGTTATTATTTGTTATTTCAATATTGTTTTAATTAAATAATGTTGTACAGTCAAACTTCTCTATAGTCATCACCCTCAGGAAAGCAAAATTTGGTGACTATAGAGAGAATGTGATTATAGAGAGATTTTTTACTATGTTTATATGTAAATGAGAAAGCAAAATAGAGTGATTATAGAGAGGTGTGACTATAAATGGGTGTGATTATAGAGAAGTTTGACTGTATTTGTACTTCTATAGCTATTAATAGTATTGAATCCAGTTTTTCTTTTCAATTTTGTTTTATAAAGAAAGCACCAAAAATTTTTTATCAGTTTGTGATCTTTATAAATAAAGATATTTACAAAATGAGTAATAATAATTATATTTATACAAAATTTAAAATATATATTATTATTTTTATGAGATTTAAAGTTATTTATATATTATGTGTTTTATTAATTAAGAAATAGAAGAGTGTAACAATTTTCACATACCCTTGTAATTTCTTGTATTATGTCTATTCTTTTTCGTATTATATTTATCATTTCTTGCATAACATGTTAGAAATTAACACAGATCTACATTAATACTTCTTAATATTTCGCTAATTAGATTAGATGTAAAATGTAGATCATATTATTAATTTAGATATACATTGTTTTTAATTACTTTTATTTTTATTCGTTCTTTTTCTTTTTCTTTTATTATTTTTAATTCGTATTAATTATC